CCAGAGGCCCCATTAGATTTGGGCTATAAAAACTCCCTCCTGCCAGGCCCCCCTCTCTCTTGCTCTCTCTCTCTTGCTCTTTATCTTTCTTACGCGCGCTCTCTCTCTCTTGCTCTTGCTCTCTCCCTGTTCATCTCTTCTCTTTTCTCTCTCTTTCCTTCTTTCCTTTCTCTTTGTTGCACTGCTGCAATAAAGATCTTTTGGTTGCTCCGAGTGTTGTGGTCACTTTCCTTTCACCCTCAATAAAAACTCACTTCTGAATGTGCTTTCTCTCTCTCGCCAGCCTCTCCTGACTTTCTCTTGCTCTCCCTTTTGGGGATCCTGAGGCTGAGAGTGGAGAAGCCGTCCTGAAGCTTGGGTAAAGGTTAATTGTTTTAATTTAGTGTAAAGGTTAGTTGTGTTTTATTTAGTGTCCCTGCGAATTCACATGAGTGATCTTAAGTTCAGCTGCCCACGCAGGTGGAGGGCGGCACTGGTGATGAGAATCAGGGCCAAGTCCCGATCCCCTGGTACTGAAAACGCCGAGGTAAGTGCAAAAAGTTTTATTTAAAGGATAGAACAGATACAGACAGACAGCGGTTCCTCTGCAGAGAAAGTAGGTGCCCAAGCAAGTGAGGGTGTCCTGCCCCTTCTATACATTTTGGATTTCCTTTGTTCTCACGCCCTTTCCTTCTCCCATCCTGCCTACTTGACCCAAAAAGTGGAGTAAACTAAGGGCAGGAAGGAAGCTGCCCTGGGTAAGAGCAGGAATGGAGTCACCCAGGGCTACTCATTAATGACTCCTTGCAGGGAGGAGCAACCCCCTGGAGGCAGGTAACCCTGGCAACAGGTTGGAGGAGTGAATGTGGCCTGAAGTAATAATATTTTATTTCCTTTCCTTTCAAAGCAGCCCCCATCTTGGATCCAACCAACCATTCATTACTACACTGGCTGTCTTCCCCCCGCCCTCCCACCAGCCCAAATAGGCATAAGAGCTCATCCCTGCTCCTCTTATGCCTTCATCTCCTCTTTTCCATTGTGCTGACCACATTCTAATATTACATATGATTCAGCACCTGATTTTGTATTCATTCCACCGTGTTCCTGGAATACAGTGTTAGCTCCTTGATAACTGGAGTCTTTGTTTTCCGGTTTGTTTCATGCATGTAAGAGTACCTGAAATGCAGCAGTGTTCAATGAACATTTGTTGGAGCCATGTATAAACACACTACTCCAGCACCATGTTCATCTTCACCACCCAAGCAATATGTCATAAATGCCTTAATACTCCCTCTGAGCAAGTAGCACTCAAGGGTTTGAATAATGAGGGAAAATGTATTTGGATAACTAAATCATGCTTGGGCAAGGTCCAGCACAGCTCTGCATTTCTCCCTTCTCAGACTTCAGTATCTGGTGCTCAGATTTTTATGGGGGAGGTCACTCAGAAGACACACCAAATCCCAGTTTTGTCCAAATTGAAGAGTCTTTATTGTCCAACTAGTCAGGACTGCTCCCTAAAGGGCCACATTGTCTCTGCAGGAAACAGCATCAACATTTCAGGAAACCAGAAAAACCACATCCAGGTTGGCATAGCAATTAATAAGCAAGCACGCTGAATAAAGCCATTAGCAAAAAATTGCAATGTCCTTAATCATATTTTCATTCTCATTCAGTATTTCTCATGGGATTTTTCCATAATCATAATCAAAAGAGAAATGGATCAAAATGACCCTAGTTGAGTACCAGTTAAAGAATGGCTACTAATGATTTTCCAACAAGGTACACTTCCCAAGGAAAATGAAAACCAAAGAGAATGATTTTACATTGTATAAGAATTGCTATTTTGTGTTGCTAAGTATGCTATGCTAGGCAATTAGTAATGGGTACAGAGGCGGGGCTTTCCCATGGGAGAAGCATTATCTTACATGATATGGAGTCTCAGGGTAAAATGGAGTCTGTTTGGTTATTGCCCATATAGCCTGGCCATAACAAGATTTTGCAGACATCTTAACTGTTCTCACCTACCACATATTCATTTAACTAGAGGCATTTCTGCATGTATCTGTGAAAGCTGTGGAATTAAGATGAACTTTTAGTAATTTAAACAATTCACAAATCTCTTCCTCTTCTCCTTAAGTAATCTCAACTTTCAATTCAAATACTGTCCCTGTAATTGCAGATGAGTCAAGAATCACCTCCCAGCAAACAAATGAGAGTATGGCATTCCCCAACTGCACTTCCAGGTTCACACCTCAGCTCTGAAACGTGCGGCCTCTAGGGCCTTGTCAGCCTGTCCAGGCACAGGGGCTAATCATTGTCCCCTTTTTTGCGGACAGGCCTGTACCGCAGGCTGGGAATCACCATTTGGGTGAAAGCTGCCCCCTTGGTGGATCAGCCTCCTGACTCTGCAGACAGGAAAGGCCCTCCTCCACCCCCGCTCCAGGGTAGCCCAGTGGCCCCTTCCCTATGGTGAGCCTTCTCCGAGGAACCAGTGGAAGAGCTACACTTTAGTCCATTCGGGGGCACGAAGTCTCCCCAAGGTGGCGGTCTGCAGCCCCTTCTTCCACTTTATGGCTGTCTGGGAACACTCCTCTCACCGCTGAAGGTAACAACATGACTTAAAGCTTTCCTCTTCGCATATTTCCACAAAAACACGGATGGACTGTGAATGGACTCCGAGTCACATTTGATGTGGCATGCCCATTTGGGAAACATCTGAAAGAATTTGCCTCCCGGCATTTCTGGGATCCTGGCTGGAAGCACTGGGTGCTTTCGGGGTGTGGGCCCTTTAATACCAGCGAGGCCCCGCCTCGCCCGGCGTCTCTGGGGTTGCTCACTTTCTGGAGACTACATTACCCAGGAGACGCTGCGGCGCCGGTGCTGTTAAAGTCACTTCCGTGCGTGCGTGGGGCGTGTGGGCGGGACATCCGGCATCTTCCTCGCGGACATCTTGTGGGGCGCACAGCGGGACCGTGGGAGGCGGGGCTCTGCAGCGCCGGGCCGGTTCCGCGCTGACGGACGCCGGGAGACTAGGAGGGGGACGCTGTCCTCGCCGCAGAGTGGGTGGGTGCTGCGCTCCCCTCACCACGGCTCGCGGGCGGAGCGCCGGGCCGGAGCGCGGCCGGGCGTGGGGCGAGGAGCCGCGGCGTCGTGGGACGGCGAGCCGCGGGCGCGAACCCACGGGTGAGCAGCGGACGGTGGCTGGTCGGGCGTTGCGGGTTTGCTGTGCCCTCGGAGCGAGCCGGTCCCCCGCGCCCTTGTGGCGCACCCGGGGGCGACGCGGCCCAGGCGGGCGCGGGGTGTCGGGCCGGAGGGTGGAGCCGCCGGCCCGCGGCGAGGCTGCCGCCCCGGGGATCCGACTTGGGGAGGGCGGTGAGGACGCTGGTGCCGCGGCGGCCTCGCCGGGGCGCTGAGCTCTGCGCGCCCCCCTCCCCCGGGGCCCCTCGCCTGGGTTCTCTGGTGCCACTTCCCAGCGGGGTTTCTGGTCTCCCCGCTCCCTGCGCTCCCTAACTCCTCTGCAGCTGCTCCAGGGGGGCTGGGGGTCAGGCGGTCCGCCCAGTGCATCCCACCAGTCCTTGGCGAGTCTCTTGTCTTGACACCTCTGGGCTCCAGCGTCTGCCACCTTTGTCTAGTTGACCTTTCTTGGGTCCACCTGTGTCATGCCGCCATTTGTGGACCCTACCGGCAGTACCAGCAAGACTTTTTTTTATTCTGTTATGTTCGTTTCTTTGGGGGGCTACTCAGAGCCAGTGCTTTGAGTTCCCTGTCCCATCTTCCCCCGGTGACTGGAATCTTCCAGATCCTTTGTGGTTGCTGACTGTAATGAGAGAGGGAACCCTGGGTTCCTCAGAGGTTATGACGCTCCCACAGCAGGAGAGGCCTGGACGGACACTGGTGGTTCCCTGGTGGGGAAGGCACGACTTCCGTGCTGTGTTCTGTTGGTACCAGGAATTTGCCATGATTTGATTCCAAAGCCAGAGGCCATGCCTCATTTCAGTCTTTGCCTCCCTGTTCTGGACACTTGTCATTTCTTATTTCAGACCCAGGGCTGTTTCTACCCCTCTCTCTGCAGTACTTTCCAACATACATGAACGAATCAGATGTGCAGATACCCTTCAGTAGTCCTTGCACCCCCATCCTTTGTTTTTAATAGATTTCCTGGGCAGAGACATGCATTTCTGCATAGTGTTTATCTGTCACCAACAGCCAGCCAAGGCCTTGCTAAAAGCCATTTGCAGAGGATGAGGTTGTAGCCTGCTGACCTTTTCTGCCTGTGCTACATCATCGTGTCTTTGTCCCTTGTGAGGCCTTCTCCATTCTGTAAACTTTAGGTCCCTATACAGCAGACTTTCAAATCTGAGCCCCATCCAGCCAATAGTCCCATAGACTTAACCCTGAGTGTACTAGACTCACAGTTGTGATGGATTGCCCCCTCTACCAAAGTCATCTTGTGTGTCAGCAGTATTTTTCTGCTTTCAGGGTGTTGGTGCAGAGTGAAGGATGGAAGCAGAGCATTTTTGTAGGAGTATTGCATGGTAGTACTTCTACATCTACTAGGTGCAGCCACGCAAGCAGCTCACCCTTGTGATTTATGTGGCCCCATCTTGAAACATATTTTGTTCCTGGAAGGAACACACTGTGGACTTCAGACTTACACATGTGGGGTATATGGGAGACAGTTGTCGTTCATTACAGACTTTAACTGGAACTTAAAGCATTACAGTGTAGAGAAACCTTCACAAAGAGATGAAGGCAAGACTTCATTGGTGAAGAACTGCAGAGTTTGTGAAGAGCTCACTTATTAGAAAACCCCTTTAAATGTGAGGTGGAGCAGAAGAACTTCCAGGCTAGCTTGGGCCATTGCCAACAAAAGATCACCCATAACAAGAGGAAGACAGCCCAGAGAACTGCAAGCAGGGAGATCCTGCATGTTGGACAAATGCATTACAAGTGCAGTGAATGTGGGAAAGCTTTCAGTCGCAAAGATACACTTGTCCAGCACCAGAGGATCCACAGTGGGGAGAAGCCTTATGAGTGCAGCGAGTGTGGGAAAGCCTTTAGTCGGAAAGCTACACTGGTCCAGCACCAGAGGATCCACACTGGAGAAAGACCGTATGAGTGCAGTGAATGTGGAAAAGCCTTTAGTCGAAAAGACAATCTTACTCAGCACAAGAGAATCCACACAGGAGAAATGCCTTATAAGTGTGGTGAATGTGGAAAATATTTTAGCCATCACTCTAACCTAATTGTACACCAGAGAGTGCACAACGGAGCAAGGCCTTACAAGTGCAGTGATTGTGGGAAAGTCTTCAGACACAAATCCACACTTGTTCAGCATGAAAGCATCCATACAGGGGAAAATCCTTATGATTGCAGTGATTGTGGGAAATCCTTTGGCCACAAATACACTCTTATTAAACATCAGCGAATTCACACTGAGACTAAGCCTTTTGAGTGCACTGAATGTGGCAAGTTCTTTAGTCGAAGCTCTGACTTTATTGCACACCAGAGGGTTCACACAGGGGAAAGGCCTTTTGTGTGCAGTAAATGTGGGAAAGACTTCATCAGGACCTCCCACCTAGTTCGGCATCAGAAAGTGCACACAGGAGAAAGGCCCTATGAGTGCAGTGAGTGTGGGAAGGCCTACAGCTTAAGCTCCCACCTCATTCGGCACCAGAAAATACATGCTGCAGGCCGGCTTTAGCTGAGCTGTTCACACAGCAGGATTCGTCAGTGAGATGTCAGGCCTCACATGAACATTCACACAGGGACATACCTTGTTTGCCAGATATTCGGCGGCTTTCCAGGTCTGTGTTGCACTTCCTGACCACCTCAAGTTTCTGCCAAGACTCATGCCTGAACTCATCTCAACTTCTCCAGCTTAGTTACCCAACATCTTCAGGGACAGTAGCACTTGTACTCTCTCCAATGCCCAGGGTGAGCCATGGGACATCTGAGTTCAGAGGGTCCTCATTCCCTTTTGTGTGACTGGAGTGGGTGTGAATGTGACCCATCTCTGGTGGCTTTCAGATGTTTTCTTTCATGATGGACATTGTTGATCTTACATAAAATCTGTCCTTGAACTCATGGGCTCAAATGATTCTGAGGCCTCAGCCCTCAAGTAATTGGGATCACAAGCACATGTCACTGTGCCCAGCTTTTACTTGAAATTTCAATGGATGTTTTCAGCCTCCCAAGTCACCTAGCCTGGAAAAGTACCTCCTCATGTTGCTCTGGTTTATAATAATAAAGGCCTTATAATTTAAGCCACCTTTAACCTTGGGGGTCTTTTCATTTTCTAGAATGGATTGAGAACAGAATTAGGCCCTGCCTGTGTGGGGACCTCCAGCTTTCTGTGGGACAAGGTGTGGGTGGAGAATAGTTCTCCGTTCAGCTTTGATGTTAATTCTTCCCAATTCATGTTTCTCGGAGATTGGTTTTTCCATGGGATGAACTTCTAAATATGGGTTTGTAACAAAGGGACACTTGCAGATTGGGACAGTTTTATTCTCTGGTGTCCAGTTTCTCTCTGTAGGGAAAAGACCCTTACTTATTTTGTTCCCTGTATCAGTTCAATCCTTTTGGTCTTTATTTCCTCCTCTTAGTGGTTCTTGGGTAATTCTTCCACATTCCACTGATGGCTGATGTCCCTCGTGTGTCATTTGCATTGAAGTTAGTGCTGTGTCCTTTACTCCCTGAAGTACTTCAGGTCTTCCAAACAGCCATTGCCACCCAGGATACCTGTACATAACTTACGCAGGTGCCACATGTAGACTTGGATAGGAGAACAGGAGCATCAGTAAGTTAGAAAAGCACTGGACATAGCAGCCCAGCCATGAGCTTGGATGAACAAGGACGTGCGGAAGAGAAATGGGAAGCCCAAGAGCCACCTCTGCCTGAGCGGTGGTAAGAGCTTGAGTGGGCTCCTCTGCCACAGTCAGAAGTGGGTGAGGGACAGGAGGGGACAAGCAGGAGTGGCAGCAGGAGTCTGCCTTCAGTGTTCCGACTGTCCAGTGCAACACCCTGCCACCCTGACCTTTACCTGACTGGGTACTTCCTGACAGAGCCCCATATGCATTGCATGGAGACCCTGCCGCCCCAGGCCACCCACCCTCCTGAGTTCCATACTTTGAAGGCCCCGTGTACCTCCCACATGCTGCTTCCTGCCTAGGTGACTCATTCCCAGGTGCCCTTCCCCATTCTGGCCTCTGTTCTGTAGAATCAGGGTAGATGGCACATGTTACTAAGAAATACCTGGGGCTGGCCCACACCAGCTGCCCAGGATCACTACAAACTGCTCTGGAGAAGTGGCTCCGGGGCAGAGATGGACAGCGGATGCCAGGCAGCCAGAGCAGGAGAGAGCCGCACTGGGCCCCTTGACCTGGGGAGACCTCTAGGAGGCCTGTCTCTGCCCAGGAGTTGGGCTCTGCCCATGGCTCCAAGGCCATCCCTATGCGACAGTAAATGAACCTCAGGTTGCCTGGTTATAGCAGCTAAAGTCATAGAGTGACGTCACAATGCTCGCTCCTGCTAAGAATTTGAACCAGGCAGGGTCCAGGCCTAGAGAACTGGCCAGGTTTTTGGCCAGAACCTGGAGCCCTGGTGGAGGTCCACACACGAAAGGCCCCAGTAGCTGAGCCAAAGAAGCAGGGATGCGGGTCTGAGGAAGGACAGGTGCAGGCCATCTTTGGGGTGAGCCTCGCACTCCCGGTGGCAGGACTGGAGCTGCGGGATAGCTCCGCGGGGCGGCGAGGGACTCCCCAGACAGGAGCGCCTGGACAGCAGGGCCAGCCAGGTGCGGGAGCAGGTGGCCAAGCCTCGCGGGGCGGCAAAGCGCATGCTCCTGCCGGCCCTTCCCCCCAGGAGCCCTGGCAGAGCCCACCGCTGCCACTTGCCCTGTCCTGCCACCTGCCCTGTCCTGTGGAGCCGGGCTCCACGGCTCCTCTTGGGAGGCACCGCTTCAGTAAGGTTTTCAATTCATGCCGAGTTTCCTTCCTTTCGATGCTCTGCTTCCTCGTGCTGGTGCTATGAGGCTGACTTTTCCCTACGTTTTTCTTTTGTATGTCGCATGTCACTCCCCTTTGTGGTACGTTCTCTTAGAACACATGCGTTCTGACTGTTTGTGGTGCTGGGGATGGAACCCAGACCCTGGTGAACGCTAGACAAGCACTCTACCACTGAGCTAGTCCCCAGCCCTAAAACAGCTGCTTTTCTGATGGCATTTCCGAAATCACTTTTCCTATAAATACAGGAAAACATGAGCCATGTGACAGAGGTGTGCCATGCATCAGCCTCAAGTTTACTGTGGCTGCTTAAATTCAGTTTAATGACCAATGCTTCATTTGAACTGGCCACACTTCCAGGTAACGTTGAAATTATAAATAACGTATGTAGATTAATAGTAAAATAAAACTAATTTATTTACCAGCTCCTGCCCAAAGAAGGACGTGTTTTATGATTTTGTGTGATCCCCATCTACCCATTTCTGTTCCCCAGATATACTGCTCTTCTTATTTTTTATGATCAATTTCTTGCCCTTCTTTTTTTTCCCCCAATACTGATGACTGAACCCAGGGGCACTCTACACTGAGCCAAATCCCCAACACTTTTATTTTTTATTTTGAGACAGGGCCTCACTAAGTTGCTGAGGCTGGCCTTGAACTTGCAATCCTCCTGCCTGGGCCTCCCAAGTCACTGGGGTTATAGGTTTGGCCATAGCGCCTGGTTCTTGCTATTCTTTAGATGATTATATTAAAAATCACCAAAACTAAGCCCACAGCTGGCACACGTCTGTAATCCCTGTGGCTCAGGAGGCTGAGGCAAGAGGATCGTAAATTCAAAGTCAGCCTTAGCAATGGTGAGGCGCTAAACAATTCAGTGAGACTCTGTGTGTAAATAACATAAAAAATTGGGCTGGGGATGTGGCTCAGTGGTTGAGTGCCCTAAGTTCAAACCCTGGTGCAAAAAAAAAAAAAAAAAAATCACCCAAACTAGATTGAATTGTTGTGTATACAACACACATAAGTGGGTACTTTATATTTTCTGAATCTTGGTTTTATTAATATCAAACTTGTGAGATTTTACATCTTGGACAAATCCATTGATGATGTTCTGTGGACAACAGAAGATGAATGGAAGCATGCAGAGCAGTCTGTATCTAGGCACTGAGGCTACTTGTGTTTTGGTTTGATTTTTTTTTTTAAAATACAACTTTCGGAAGTGTATCTCTGAGATTAGTTGGAAGTATAAACAAGCTAGAAGTGAAAATTGTCCTATTGACAGCATTTAAAATCATGAACTCAGAAGCAGTACACAGTTTGGCTCCATGCGATGGGTGTGTGGAGCATGCTGTTCATAATGTGATTTCAGTGGAAAAGTGGGGTGCAGTGCCATGTGAGTGCTTGCACATGAGCAATAAAGACTAACAAAAGGGGGGAATCTGTTAAACTGGGGCAATTTTAGCTGGATACATTCTTTTAGAAATTGCATTGTGTATTTAATCATACTGTGTATATAAAAGTTATCATAATAAAAACAGAAGTGCCTTTGATACTAAACTGCTATTTAGGAAAAAAAGATCAATATCCCCCATTTTCACTCCATCTACATGGGTTTTCCATAGGACAATGACTTTTCTCCCACAAAGGCTTTGGCATCATTAATGGAAATTCTTCTGCCATGGGAAGCCTGAGTTCAGAGGGCAGCCAGCTGCCTGACCCAGGGGCCTGCCCCTGGAAGTGAGCGCCTTTCTCTTCCACCTTGGGGGTGGTGTGTCCACGGTTCTCTGGTCAGTGGTGGAGTGCTTGTCTAGCGTTCACCTGGTCAGGGTTTGCTCTAATCAGGTAAGACTGTAGACACAGAAATAGCTGTGAGGAAGTTCTGTGTGCACAAATCCCAAGAAGAAAGCCCAGGCAGCCTCAGGGGCCCTGCAAGGAAGGCACTGGAGCAGAGGTAGCAGGGGACAGCCTTCCTGGGTGGGAAGGAGCACAGCAGGCAAGGCAGGGGAGCAGCCAGGTTGGCCGCAGGCTGGGGATTCGCTGGTTTGGATCTTGTCCGTGGACCCCAGGCTTAGGGACTGTCCCAGCTGAGCAGGGGTGGTGAGATGACAGCCTGGCACCAAGAGTCTTGAGAATCCCTGGCCTAGACAGAGACTTCCCCATGTGAATCGGAACAGGGACAAGAACTTGTCAGGGAGACCAACGGTGCTTGACAGTAGCATTGTTGTGGCTCCCCAGCCGGAAGCAGCCAGAGAGCTCAACGGCAGGAGAATGGTTGACAAGTTGCCATAGGATCCTCACAGCTATGGAAACAGGCGAGATGTGCAACAGCCCGGTGAGTCTCAGGCATTTGCTGTGCCCCCGACTAAGCAGAGCCCACAAGACAGTGTCCCGATTCCATCACACAGGAAGTGTTCGGCCAGGGACGGGGATTCTAACTACGCACTGGGGACTTACACACTATAAAGAAAGCTACAGGGAAACCTGGTAAATGCTGTGTTAAAAAGAGAATCGTGGGGTCTCTCCTGTGCCTCTGGAGGCCACTTGAGATGCAGACAGTGCCGAACAACATCTCTCTGGCCACCAGGAGAAAATTTAAGAAAAAAATTGCGTCCTTTATTTTCCAGTATTTGAGTATTTGTTTTCCAGTATTTGAAGTATTTGAGTCCAACAGCTGCCAGAGTCTGTGGGACGCTTGCTGCTGTGACAGACAAGGTCTGGGGGTCATAAACCCACCTCGCTTTGCCTTCATTTCAAGGCACATCGAGTCAGCACACTCTCAGGTAATTTGGTGTTGGTATCTTAGAATTCAGTGTCTCTTCACAGTCCATTTTTATATAAAACTCAGACACCATAAAATGCACAATTCAAGTGAGCGTTCTCTGAGCTGAGACGGGTGTGCACCCCTGGGTGTCCCCCGCCTGGCAGTCAGTCTCCTCCCAGACCCAGAGGAACCAGGATGGTTGCCCACCGAGGACGACCCTTCCCTGGCAGCTGCAGTGCGCTCTCAGGTAAGGACCCTTCCCCGAGCCCGCGCTTTGAAGGTCACTCCCCGTGGTCAACGTTCTTTCACTATAGATGTCACATTTGCGTCTCCGTCACACTCATGCTTAGGTCTGCGGGCTCCACCCTCATGAGACCAGTGTCCTAAAATGTTTGCTCCCCTGTCACCCGAGGACACGCCCCGACCCACGCTGGACTGCGGTGGTGATCTTGGACTCTGGTCCGCACACCTGAGAGCAGGGTCTGTGGTTCACGCAGGGCCCAGCTCCCGCGGGCT